GGGAGGTGGCTGCCATGGGGCGCCCGCGCACCCCTACCCTGGTGGCCTCCCCAGAGTGAATACTCACTGAAACCCAAATGGTAGCACAGCAGTGTCATGAGAAGGATGGTGAGCAGAAACAGGACCAAGCGATTTTCGGCCCACATGTTCATCAGAGACCTGCGCCTCTCAGCTCCCAGGCCGCGCAGGGACGCCTGCGAGCCGGGCTGAGGTGTGGCAGCCATGATGGGATGGCGCCCAAGATTGATGCTGTCGCTGAGATGCGACCTCACCACCGGGTTTTCGGCAGCATAGGACTCGTCACATCTGACCAGCCTTATGCGTGTCCCTCTCAGAGCCTTGGTTCTCGGCCTGGTCTTCCCTCTCGAACATCTCCCTTCGGAAGGCATGGCTCCGCTGCTGACTAGCTCAAACGACGCCTCGCTGCCAACAGCCCTTCACCCAACAAGCTCTTGGGCGCTGACGCATGCGTGGTATGCCCCGCGCAGCCCATTCCAGCCGTTAGGCCCCGCCCCTTTTTAACGGTCAGCAGGATATCTAGTGCTCCCTCTCCCATTCAAGGCCTGGTCTTTCTAGTGTTTGTTAATTGTTGAATAAATGAATAGGGCCTGATGATTGTGCCACGATCATGGCAGTTTGTCATACATCAACAAAATGGATAAATGGAATTTAGATTCCAGCCTTGACTGTTAATTCCTACTCAGATTCAGTCCTATGAAAGACACTGTAGCATCTATGGTCACTACAGTTGCTCTTTACAGTATCCACTAGCCAAATGTGTCTGCTTAAATGTACATTTTAATTAATTAAAAAGTACACGGAAAGCCCTAGCCAGTTTGGCTCAGTGGATAGAGCGTCCGCCTGCGAACTGAAAGGTCCCAGGTTCAATTCTGGTAAGGGCACATTGCCCGGTTGTGGACTCAATCCCCAGTGGGGGATTTGCAGGAGGCAGCTGATACATGATTCTCTCTCATCATAAATATAGATAAAGACAGACATAGACATAGATATAGATAGTATATAGGTAGATAGATATAGACAGATGTATAGATATAGATAGATATGTAGTTATATATAGACTTAGATAGATATAGATATATAGATATAGATATAGAGATATAGAGATATAGATATAGATATCTATCTTATGGTGCCCATGTTTGACAGTGCAAATATGAAGCATTTTCATCACAGCAGAAATTTGTGAGGGGCAGTGCTGGATGTGCACAGTGACTATAGTGAATAGGGTAGATATTCAATAGGTTGTTACACTGTAGTAGGAGCTTTTAAGTAGAACAAATAATATTTGCTTTCAGAGAAATTAAGGTTGAGTTACAAACTCGTTACATAGGAAACATGAAAACAAAGAGTGTGTGAGGAACACTAATGAGTAATGTAGAACACTTAGATGTATTCTCATCATTTGCCACTAATGAATTGGATGATCCTAAGTGCCTTCTTCTTGCTGGGCCTCAGTATTGCATGTGTAAAATGAGAGAGTTAGCATTGTCTCTAAGACCCCTTCTTGCTCTAAAATCTGACCCATAAGCAAAATCCCATTAAATAGTTTGGTTTGACCCAGCTGGTTGAGCATCAACCTTTAAACCAGGAGGTCACAGTTCAATTCCCAGTCAGGAAATATGCCCGGGTTGTGGGCTCGATCCCCAGTGGGGGACATGCAGGAGGCAGCAGATCATTGATTTTCTCTCATCATTGATGTTTCTATATCTCACTCCTTCTCCCTTCCTCCCGGAAATAAATAAAAATATTTTTTAAAATAAAAAATTGCTTGGTTTGGGCATGCCTGCAAAGGGATGCTGTAGGTGGTGCTAGCATATTTGCTAACCTATCTTATTCTAATTTTCAAGGGATGTGAAAACTATCCCCGTCAACTGCATTTCCAGCCTTGTTCTTATTACATTTTACTCTGGCTTTCAAAATGGCTTGCTACTAATTTTTATTCTATTGTTCTTTCCAATGTTAATAGGTATTCTACAGGGCAGGGGAGAGAAAGAGGTTTCCTATGAAAATAATTCTTAAAATTTAGCACACTCCACCCCACCCCATGCTCACATACAGGAGCAATTAATAATGCTCTTTAATTTTTTAAAGGATGTGACCAAAAAGAAACTGCTTTTTTATTTTTATTTTTTTATATTTTAAGTGTGTGTGGGGGGGGTGTGTTTTTGTTGTTGTTGTTGTTGTTGTTTTTGCTTGTTTTGCCTCAGCTTTTCTTTAATTTGACCACAAGATGCCTGTCCCACAAAATACTCTTAACTGCTTCTTGAAACCACTGCTTGGAACTTGTGAAGTGTCTGAGGTTTTACTCTGTGGGTTACAAGGTAGCCTCACACAGTTTCACAGATTCTAGCAGAGTATGCAAGACTATTGGGTCAGAGACAAATAACAAAAGCTCTCCTGAGACATGCAGAAACTCGAGAGATTTATGAACAATTGCCACCCAATAGCAACCTTCTTCATGTCAGAGCACATGTGGAAAATAATCGTATTGCTGGGCACCACGCAGATGCCCTGAGAGAACAGGGTATTAAACTAGAGAACACAGGCTGGAATATCAGTTCTCGACCACCTCATGGGTTGCATTCTCTGAGCCTTTGTTTCCCCTTCTGAAAATTACAGGCTGTGGACAGCCTGATTGTGAAGATTCCTTCCGGATCTGGCTTGCTATGTCTAGTAATTAACTGTAGCATTTGTGTTTGCTGTAAAGGCTAGGCATGGCAGTTCTACAACAGTGCAATATTCCTGAGGAATCCATATCATACCACTAGAAACCAAAATTTTAACAAGAACTCAGGTGGACAAAATTCCTAAGATCATGACTAGGCACTCTCTGGTTTATAGAACAGTAAATGGCTGAAGTTGAGCTTCTTATTGATTAACCCTCCCTGGGGTTCCTCACTGCCCTGGAAACTCTCCTTTCACTTCCACGTGAAGAGAAGGGGTCAATAAACTCTTTAGATGCTTCGTTACCCCAAATCATGTTTTTAATGCTTGTGTTAAACCTCCTCTCTTTTGAAGCTTACATTATCTGATTATAGCAACTGCTTCATTTTCAGCATTTCAAGGGCCTACTAAATTCCAGAAAGTTCTATCCTCTTCTTTCATATTTTACCATCTGAATCTCTGACTTCCCTTCCATCACAACTCTTGGTCATTATCTTTGGAATGAAACTGGCTGCATGGCTCCTTCACCTTCCAATTTTCAAATTCCAAGACCACTGAAGTATTTATCCTCCTCAAAATCTTTACAACATTTGAAACTATTAACCTTCCTCTTTCCCTGAGCAAAACTATGTATCCCTATTGGACTGTAAGCTCTATGAAAGCAGAGATCTTGTTTGCCTTGTTTATTGATCTATTTTCAGTGTCTAAATAGTGAGTGGCACATGGTATCCTCTGACTAAAAACATTTTAATGGATAATTGCTATGACAAAGCAGGATTCTCATGTCCATATAATCCTCATCCTATTGGCTAAATGTAGGCATTCCCCAAGATTTAGCCCACTACTACCTACTATTTGTGTTCTCTAGCCACCCCCCTCCAGTGATATATTCACTCCCATTTCTTCACGGAACACCACTATGTCAATTATGCTTTCCTATTTAAATATCTAGCCTCATCCTTGTCCACCGCCCCAAGCTGGAGATCAACCAAGCAAGTTCAATGGTCTTGCTTCTAGGAGAACAAAATGAAATAATTCAGAGGCCCTGGGCTCAGGGAGCTCCAGTCTAGTGTGAGAAGCAGGCATGTAAAATACAATATGATGGCTGCTCTTAAAAACAAATGTATGAACACAGAGCTGCAGGAACACAGAGGAAAGGGCAAATAATTCTGCCTAAACTCAGTGAAAGCTACTGAGAAATGACATTTAATTTGGGCTTTGAAGATTGAATAGAAAATGTCCTGGCAAAAAAGATGTGAAAGGTATTTTTCATGGCGGAGGCTTAAGAAAGACTTAGAGGAATGAAAAGATATGATAGAGCCTGGGCAATGTTGCACAGTGGTTAAGTTTTAGAGAGAGGAAGGAAGAGGGAGATAGAAACATTGATCAGCTGTATCCTGCATGCTCCCTACTGGGGATCAAGCCTTAAACCTGGGCATCAAACCAGTGACTTGGACCATGGGATGATGCACAACCAACTGAGCCACACTGGCTGGTTCTCAGCCTTAGCTCTAGTACCTTTTCCTCATTCGTATGTTGTGGCCATACCCAACTTACCCAGACTTACAGTGTTCTTTCCTGCCTTTGCATATGCTTTCCCTTCCTTTCTCCTTGGCTAACTCCTCCTTTTCCTCCTTCAGGTCTCAGCTTAAATATTATTTCTTCAGCAGACCTTACCTGAACCCCAGACCAGGTTAGATCCTCTTCTCATACTTCCCTATAAAGTTAGGTGTTGTTGTTTTCTTTAATACATCTCTATTGATTCCAGAGAGGAAGGGAGAGGGAGAGAGAGACAGAAACATCGATGAGAGAGAACCTTCTATCAGCCACCTCCCACATGCCCCCCACTGGGGACCAAGCCCACAACCCGGGCATATGCCCCCAACTGGAATCGAACGTGGGACCCTTCAGCCCGCAGGCCGACACTCTATCCACTGAGCCAAACTGGCCAAGGCAAGGTTAGATTTAATATCATTAATTTTATGGTGCTTGAAAGTGAAAAATAGAATTCATAGTTAATTCAGACAAAGAAAAAGATATGCTGAATGTTTACCACTTTCTCCACTCATTGTTTGGGAGTTTTTGCAAGACTGGATGGCTTGACTTAGCCATCAGTCTTCCTGGTGGCTTTTCTTTGTTTACATTGAGTTGGAATTCCTCTGTTAAGATGTTTTTAAGCCTTGCTTACAATTTTATCACCCTATCAACAAGGTGTGACAGTTTTTCCCTATCTAGAATTGGCATGGGACTAGCTGCCATCTCAACTTGAGCTTCCAAATTGCTGTGTCAGGGGAAGAGAGTGTAGAAAAACACACCACCCTGCTCTTCAGTGCTTTGGCCCAGCAAGGACACTTATCCTTTCTATTTCCATCCACTTCACTGGCCAAAGGAAGTTATGGAGCCATGCTTCATTCATGGGAGGCCTGTGCCTGGAAGGAAATAAAAAACAGAAAATTTGGCAAGCCCTAAAAATGTCTAACACCAGATTTAACAGCTATTCTTTATTTAAGATGAGCCATGTGCTCATTACACTAATTCT